TTCCAAGTTGCCATCAGTTAGAACTGGTCTTTTTGTATCTTCAACCTCCATCTCTACTGCTCTCTTCCCCTCTGCTCACATGTATTATATTATCTTTCCATCTTAATTTTAAAATGTCACCCTAACTTCATTTTCCTTGTAAGAAAAAGATAAAACTATGTTTTCCCCTGACTCAAATAAACCTCTAAAAAGAATGAGATGCACAATAACCTAGTAGTCAAGAATGTTGTGCAAACCTGAATTTGAATTTGAGCTTCATCAGTTCCAGATTATCAGTTTATCAGTAATGTAATGTTGTAAATTAACTTGTGTAAATTACTATTCAGTCTGTGTTGCAGTTTGCTCATCTTTAAGATGGGGATAATAATATACCTGCATGCCAAGTGTTCAGTGGAATACTAGATACATAATTAATCTCCCCAATAAACATTAGCAGTCAGGATCATCATTATTATTATTATAATCCTGTCTCCATTTCTTTGCTAGCTGCCTTTTTTCTCTATATATTGCATTCTGCCTTTCTCCTCTCATTCTTCTTAGCTCAACATTTCTGATTAATAAACCTAACTCCTCAATTGTTCAACATTACTCTTCAGCACTTGGCCTAGTAAGTCACCATCTCCTTTTTGAATCTCACCCCTTCTATGGCTTTTCTCATTCCCTTCCTAGCCCTCAAAATTCTTCTCTATTTCTTGACTAGTCCATTTTCTTCTTTAATGGGACCTTTATGCAGTCGATTCATTAGTTCTCTTCCTCTGTGGGGAGCAGGGTCATTGAGTGGGTGCATCCAGAACCCAAGTGCTAACGAAGTGTGTTGTGCAGGGAGAGGTTTGGACCTTGGGGTTCTCACCAAGAAAGCCAGGTCTTGTATGGTGCCCAAAGATGCAGTGGAGTAAAGGACTATAAGGGGTGATGGAAGAAGGTCAAGGATAAGTCTTCATCCATTCTGTATTCAATATTATCAGACTTAGTTTTGGGCCAAATTATAATTAGACACTATAAAGGAAGGTTTACATTTGATAAAACATTTATCAGAAATTTGACATACATCTAAATGTTAGCTTTTTATAATCATAATTTAGACTATTTTTATAGTATAGTAATTCATAACATAATAGCTGCAAAGTGAATACTGTATATAGCTAATTTCTCAAATCCACATCATGATCTGCAATCCTTCTTCCATTACAAATTCCCCTGAAGTTGTCCAGCTATTTCTCCTATTTTCCAGAGTTCTCTCTATACTTTTATTTCTTCTTTATATCTCATTACAACTTTGATTATTGTCTCCTTAAGGATTCTTAAAATCAGAACATGAGAAACTTCACATCCGAGAAAGTATGAGAATGAGATCCAAGCCATCTCCAAATCAGGAAATGAACTCCATTTTTCTGAGAGATCTGTTGTTTAACTCTGTAGGAAATGAGGCCTCATGCATCTCATCAAATGATCAGAGTAATTTTTCAGTTTTTATTGAAACATATCTTCTAATGTTTTTGAATTAATCTTGATTCTAATATAATTAACTAATAAAGATCTATAGGCTGGGCTGATACCTGTAATCCCAGTAATTTGGAAGGCTAGGGTAGGAGGATCACTTGAGTCCAGGAGTTCAAGATCAGCCTGGGTAACATGGCAAAACCCTGTCACTACAAAAAAAGCTGGCCAGGCATGGTGGCATGCACCTGTAGTCCCAGGTACACAGTTGGGTGCGGGGAGGGAAGGGCAGGCTGAAGTGAGAGGATCACTGGAGCCTGGGAGGCCAAGGTTGCAGTAAGCTGTGATTGTGCCACTACACTCTAGCCTGGGTGACAGAGTGAGACCTTGTCTCAGGAAGAAAAAAATATATATATATTCTTCCATTGTCTGCTTGTGAACTATGCCTCCCTGACCTCTACTAAGGGGTCATCTCCCTTGTGCAATATTCCTTGAAAACGGGTTTGCCTTTTTCTTTTTCTTTTTTTTTTTTTGAGACGGAGTCTCACTCTATCGCCCAGGCTGTAGTGCGGTGGGATGACCTTCGCTCACTGCAACCTCTGCCTACTGGGTTCAAGCGATTCTCCTGCCTTAGCCTCCTGAGTAGCTGAGACTACAGGTGCCCACCTCCACACCTGGCTAATTGTTTTGTATTCGCCAGAGCAGTGCAACCTCCTTCCCATCACTTCCCACTCTCTGAACACGGTCTCTGTGACCTGGATTTTGAAAGTGGACTTCCAAGATTGATTACTGGGTATGGAGAAAACGCAGTATCTACATTTTTAGTTCTCATTGTTTCCTTTGATCCTTTATACTGTCAAATGAGCCAGGTAGATGAGATATAACCCCACTGCATAAACAAAGAAATCTAGAGTTTAAAAAGGTCAAGAACATTCTGTAAGATATTCTGATGGCAGCTAAAAAGTTATTCTGATAGTGGCAGTCAGGTTTTCAGACTCATATCCAGTCACATACAATTCCCATGCTCATGGATTTTTAGGGTATCACTCAACATAGTGTAATAGGTAACAATACCCTATCATAATGAGAATTATGTAACAATATTACTGTATGTGGTGTCAATGTGTAACAGTAAGGTTTTTATTTTACAAATGTAAAGTACTTATATATATATTTTATATGAATTAAAACTAGATTATGTAAATATATAGAGTCTTAATGATTTATTCCTGAATTAAAACTAGATTATATATATATATACATAATCTTAGCTTAGAAAGAGAAGCTTTAAACTTGCTGCTGTGTCCTATAGGCAGGTTCAGTCAAATCAAGTTGGCAAGCACTAATTGAGCATGTACCTTGTGTCTAGGACTCTGCCAGCCACTACAGAAAGACTAAACAAAGACTAAAGACTTTAGATTGAGTCTCAAAGCGTTTACCAGTATAGTTCTGAGTTCATGGTTACAGAGCCAGTAGGCCCGGCAGAACTGGAAACTGAGGTCTGCAGGACTCGAGAGTTCACACTCTTTCTGCTATGTTATGATACCCTGTTGGTGTTAGGCACAGATAATCTGGTTCAGGGACAACTAGGAAGTAAAGTACAAGCCATGGCCAATCATGACATTATACGTCTTGTTGACATAACATGAATGAAGTTGGCACAATAGAAATCTCCATACAATCAATGGAAGGAATATCAATTGGCCTTGCCAAGCATGAAGAGACACAATATGACCAGAAATCTCTTGGCAAGCTCACCCAACCCTGAAGGGGTCAATGTTTGGCCTGCCATTCAACCCAGCTCTGGACATAGGAAAAACATTAGTTGACCCTCACATCTGCCCTCAGAGTAAGTAAAATGGTCTCTAAGTGCTTGGGCAGGAGGTCCAGTCTGCTAACTGTGGGCTGTGGAGAATCAAAGGCAAGAAGTAGCTTTAGTTGAGAAGGTCTGTGGGCCTTTCTGTTGCCTTCACTAGATTTGGTCATTGGTGTCTGAAATTATGTATTATGCCTTATTGGTGTTGGGGTTGGAGGATGAGGCAGAAACAGCACTAAGAAAGAGATTCATGGAATTCAAAGGTAAAAAAAACTTTGATAGATTAATGGAATCAACCTATATAAGTCTAGAAATGCACTTTAGTACCCTGTATGTCATTTAACTCTGTTACCTTTAGACACAAAGATTGCATTTTAGGAATCAGGAAGTGATACTCTTAACATCAAAAGAGAATATACAACCGGTTTGCCTTACCAAGGGACAAAGTGGAGATATGGCTTTAAATTCAGTCACTTTTAATGGTTGGAAGAGAGAAACATCTATAGAGTTACAGAGGATGGAAATTGGGACCTTTTCTACACATTAACAAGGAAAATTGGCCCTAGAAAAGGTAGCCTAAATGGAGTGACTGCACTTTCAGACCAAGAACACCAGCTGGCTCACTACAGGGATGTGGAAATAAGATTCTTACAGCCACTATCTTGGTTTTACTGCCTATATGATGGAGATAATGATACTTCCCTGTACCTGCCTCACAGAATTGTTGAGAAGATGAATAATGCAGCATTTTAATATGCTTTGAGACCCTTGAAAGATGGCTTTTGTAAGTGCTGGGTATGATATTATCATTATCATTATTATCTTTATCTTTGCGGAAAATCATGCTTGGAAAAGCTTGCTGGTCATTTTGATATCAATTTCTGGCCAACTTATTCTTCCCTAATTTCTTTCCATGCTGATGGACATTAAGCCAATTTAATCATCCACTCAGTCTCCCTAGTGTATCATGCACATCCTGACCTTTGATTCTCTGCTCACATTATGTCCCCTGCATGCTCTTCCTCTTCTTCTCCATCTTTCTAAACACAACCCTTTTCTCAGGCACTTGGGGAAGCTGGGGAGGCAAGGACTGAGTCTCTGAGTGCATCCCACTCAAGCCCAATCAGGTTGTCAACTGCTAGACTTTGCATCAGGTCATCTTAAAGGTCATCAAACTGAAACATAACTTGTACAGTCTTCAATTTGATTTTGATAGAGAATTATTTCCTCCATCTTGCTTCTCTTTGCAACAGTCTGAATTAAAACTGTACGTAACATGAACATTACTGTGATAGTAACGGGGTAGCTCTGCAGGGACCAAACTTTAGAAGAATGGATGATCTTTTGGATGTAGGTAATAGCTGCTGCAAAGTGGAGAGGTTGTCTGAACTACCTTCCTCTTCCTGAAGTTAGATAATACCTTGGTTTGCAGGAACTCAATAAATTTGCAAGGGCCCGTGTTAGTCCAATGTCACTAAATCTCAACTTGAATTTATGAGCAATAAAGTGATCTAACATTAATAGGATAAAAGTTATCTCCTCAAGGCTAGCTTTTCAGTTACTATCAGTGGACTTACCCCAAATAACCCCCAGATTTCTATATGACCCTTTTTGCATTACACAGGCCTCAGTATGCAAGGGATTCCCAAACGCACACTCCAGAGGCCTAAGCCTGAGCTAACTGTCATCACACTGTCCTTTAGAGGGTTTGCTTTTGGTTATGGTTTTGTGATTTGGGAACACTTACTTTGGCTAAGTCCATGCGCCAGTTAGGCTCTGCAGTTCATTGTCCTTCACACTCTCTCGTTTCCTATGTTCCCTGTTCCCGTGAGTTCCTTGTCCACATGCAGGATGGTATGGTATGAGCTTCTGCAGGCAGCTTGGATGGCTTTTACTCCCTCGGAAGAAGGTGACCTTTGAGTTAGTGTCCTAATGTTCTTATAAGAGGTGCCTTGCATTTATCTATTGCATTTAGAGGAAACCTCCAGCCATTACCTAGAAGTGCTAAGAAAAGATCACTCAAATCAGCTTTGTATTAAGGACAGATATAAAGGTGGTAGACTAGAATGAGACATGGAGAAGCTGGTCCTCCATCATTCTCTCCATCTATTAAAAGCCTACTCTCCTTCCAAGATCCTTATCATCCCTAACTAAACTGATTTCCCTCACCTCTGTATTTCTGTACACTTAATACTTTTCTTAATACATTTACCAAATTAGCTGCATCACCAGTAATTTAGCATTATGTTAATAATCAAGAAAACTTTACATTTACATGATGTTTTAAGGTATAGGAAGTTTCACAACATGTACTATTTCATTTAACCCTTACAACTTCTTAGAAAAATTTGTTAACCTCTATAAACTTTATTTTCTTCCTCTGTAAACAGGAGTTATTTTACTCTTTCTTAAAAGAATTGGAAAATGTGTTTACTTTGTTAGTCTGGGAACAAAACAATTCATTCAAATTAAACCTTACAAAATCGCTTAATCAAGTAATGCTCTTAGGGTCATTGTGAGGAGTAAATGAGCTAAGGGACGTGAAAACTAATGTGTGAAATGCAAAGGCACATCCAGATGCAGGATCACAAAGGCCCTAAGGTTTCTGGTGTTTGTGACTGGGTGCCAAAATAGAGATTTGAAGCAATACATGACAAGGAGAAGATGTACCTGTTCTAAATCTTCTAGATTTAGAACCTAGAAGACAGATGAACCCTAATTAGAAGAAGAGTATTTGACATGGCATCAATCTGTATAACTGATCAAATTTAGGGGCTGGGGCTCAGGGAAAAATGTCAGTAGGTATGAGAATCAATGGAATGTAGGCAGTAATTGAAGATAGGAGTGTGAATAACACCAATGGAAGAGGGTGCAGTATAAGAACAAACTCGAGAGAGCCCTTGGGATGGAGTCTCTTGGGAAAGGAAAGGAGTTGGCTGAGGAGAAGCTGAACTGGCAAGAAAAGCAAAAGAAGAAATTCCAAGTTGGATACTGATGTCAAATGAAAGGAAATGAAAATTTGGATTAGAAGCTTAAGAGGCCATTGGCAACTTTCAATATTCTAGTGGGTTGAGGAGTGAAAGGGACAAGAGAAAATGGAAGCAGTCAGTGGAGAGTTTGCATTACAGGCTGTCCTTTTGAAAAATTTGGTGAAGAAAGGAAACAAAAGAGTGGATGGTAGCTTTGGGAAGAAAGAAATAGGACCAAGGGAAAGAAAGAAAGAATAATAGCTAAGGCTTAGTAATTATTTACGTCAAATATCAAACACATAGCACTTACAGTATGCGAAACACTGTTTTTTTTGTTTTTGTTTTTGTTTTTGAGACGGAGTTTCGCTCTTGTTACCCAGGCTGGAGTGCAATGGTGCTATCTCAGCTCACAGCAACCTCCACCTCCTGGGTTCAGGCAATTCTCCTGCTTCAGCCTCCTGAGTAGCTGGGATTACAGGCGCGCGCCACCATGCCCAGCTAACTTTTTGTATTTTTAGTAGAGACGGGGTTTTGCCATGTTGACCAGGATGGTCTCCATCTCTTGACCTCGTGATCCACCCGCCTCGGCCTCCCAAAGTGCTGGGATTACAGGCTTGAGCCACCGCACCTGGCCCTGTCACAGCTTTTAATCAGTTGAGAAAGATATAGAAGCACTTAGGAAACAATGGAAGACAAGATCAAATATGATGTGTGTGGCTTAATGCTTTACACGGAGCTCAGAGAAGGGAGTAATCAGAAGAGTGGGGCAAAGGCTGTAGCTTGAGCTGGTCCTTAAAGATCAGGAGGATTTGGTGGATAGAGGAGAAGGCACAATTTTTGGTGGTGGAGAAAGTGAGAGGAACAGAAGAATCAAAGGAAGAGAGGGAGGCATTAAGAGGTATTCTTGGGGCCAAGCACAGTGGCTCATGCTTTGAAGCAGCACTTTGGGAGGCCAAGACAGGAAAATGGCTAGAGGCCAGGAGTTTGAGACCAGTCTGGGCAACATAGTGAGACCCCATCTCTTATTTAATGAAGAAAAGGGGGCACTCCTGGTAAAAGCATAGGGACTAAGGGCCAGGAGAGCAGTGATAATTCAGGCCAAAAGATAATCCTACCCAGTGACCCACATCTGATTTGAATCCCTAAGGCCCCACCATCAGTCTCCTTAGCTACTTTATCCCAGCCTTGCTTTTCTCCACAGCAATAATCCCCTCCTAATACACATATTAAAATTAATGTATTTATATCTGCTAGAATGTATGCACTGTGAGGGCAGGAATAATTGTTTGAATCACTAGTATATCTTCTTGGTCTACATCAAGTTTGACTTACAGAAGGGCTCTCAGTAAAGATTTGCTGGAACAAACACAGCAGCAGTGTCAGGGTTACCTGGGGTTCCTCCAGCAGAGGCTCAGGAATTTTTGGCTAACAGCCTGCTGTGAAGAAAAGCCTGACCTAGACAGAAGTGACAGCCTGCTTCTCAAACAGAAGCTCTTTAATACCCAGGTGACAATAAAGCTCTCAAAATTTAAAGGCAAGTTAGGGCTCCCCTAGAACTGGGGACTGAAGAAGACTTCACTGAGGAATTAGGGGAGAAAGTGTTTCAGAATAGGGGGATTTTAAGCTAACTAATCAGAATGGTTTAAGTGGGAGGATGATGGCCCCTGGAGAGACATAATCAGTTGGAAAGCCCACTGACTCTTAGGGGCCCTAAGGCTGTATTAAACTGCTTTTTAGGTCCTCACTAAGAGCTTTACAGGGGCTGCGTCAGCCTGGTAAAAGGCAATTTGTTCCAGTGTCCTCTCCTAGGGAAGGAGCCATTCCTCAGATCCTGGTCCAGGTAGCAAGGGCCCCTTGTATTTTTACCAGTTTTTTGAAGATTGTCCAACAGGGAAAAAAATAATTTTTGCTCCCCACATTAAGGTTTAAAATTGGCCACAAAGTAGAAAACAAAGCACATATTGCTCAGAGGCCAGGAGTTGCACATCTGAGCAGTGCCCAGTGACGGAGTTGATCTGTGGTTGGTATTGCCATTGTTCAGAAAGCATTCACAGTGATCATGGGTCTGGGTCCTGTGCCCATCTTGAGCTACCAGTTTCTTCAGACATTAGCAGAGATGTATAAATGAATCAGCCCTTCTGTGAAATGATAATTCAATTTTCCTGTTCTGTAAAATGAGAGTCCTCACTTGCTTTCCATAGTTCCACGTCTGCAGAAGGAAGGAGATCTGCTTTCACCTGTGTACACCTGGTGTTCCATAAAAAGAGAACATTTGCTATTAGTTGGTGCTGTTTTGAAAGCCTATCGGCTACTTGTCAGGAGAGGTCATTTATCAGGAGAGGTGAGCTGGCAATTTTCTGAGAACCTTGGCACATGCCTGCAATTTCCCAAGGAGAGGCCTATTGCCTTTTAATTTCCTTTCCCCAGAAAAAACCAGAAAGGTCCCTATCCCCCAACTTTGTAAAATACCCAGAAGGAAAGACTCAGTAAGAAGACTCTGATCTCCTGCTAGGAAAGGGCAGGCAGGAGGGAAAAAACCTGGTTATACCTGTCAACCCAGACTCCTCAGCTGAAATGGCAGTCATGAAGAGAAATGCCCCTCCCTCCAGCCAGAATGTGGGTGGTGACAATTTCCTATTGAGGAGACAGGTAGCTGGGACTTGAGCCAGACTTCCTGCCTGAAGCCAGGGCAGATCTGCAAGAACTGGGCGCCTGCTTGAGTTCTGGTCTCAGTCAGGGTTGATGTAACATGTAACACAGTGCTGGGGGGCTAGACTTTGATACCTGTCTCAGGATGCTCCCTGGCAAAGGCCTGCATGTGTCATTGTCACCTGACTGATGAGTAAGGCGAAAGTGTCAAACTCCAGTCCAGAAGACTGATATGGCAGTGTTTGGCTGAGGCAGTGTTGGAGAGTCAATCTTGCCCCAGGATAAACAGAGGGGCTTGGGTTTCTCACCCCATTCTCCTCCCCACTCTCCCTCACTTCCTTCTCTCCTGAAGCGGGCAAAACTGCTGAAGAGGCAGAATTACATGGGAAGGACTGATTATACAAATGATACCTGGGTTGCAATCAGCTCCACCAATTGGTAGCTGTTGCTTTTTTGGCAAATTACTTAACTTTTATGTGCTTTAATGTTCTTAAATCCATCTGTAATAGAAGGATGGAAATGATACCTACTCCAAGTTCTGTTAAAATAATGAGCACATCCACAGTGAATAGTGCCTGGCACAGGGGCTGTACTCAATACATGGCAGTATTAAGTGATAACAGTGATACTCCTTACAGCCCTCTGAATGTTGCCGCTGGCTGAGTCTGGCGGAAGCAGCATGGAATATCAAGTTGCTAAAGGAAGTTGTTGAGCAACTTTCATGAGCCAACCCTTCCCGTTGCTGAGCTTGAGGAAATTGTGTTACTGTTGTGTCTTTATGAAACTCAGAATTGTTCTCTGACATTGTAGCTATCTCACCTCACCTCCCCCAGTTTATAAAGCTACAGTGGCCTTGGCTATACCGCTGCCCACCCCTACAACCCACAAAGACACTCTCCGGGGGCAGGATTCATTTGGTCACTTTCCTTTTAGCTTCTCTGGCCCTGAAATTATATTTCAAGTGAATGTGGGGACAAAAATTAAAAACCACCCTAAAAACCCAGGTACCAAATCTGTTTTCTCCATCTGTGACTTAATGTCTCAGAAAACTGAGGCCTCCATATGGTGTGGCCATGAGGCCAAATGTCAATTCACATTTCCCGATGGCCCACATTGCTAATAATTCACATTTGCATCCCACTGCTGCAAGATTGCCCTGTACCAAGCCCTTTCAGAACCTCTGTCACCAACTTGGGTGAGGGATGTGTTGAAGAATATTATAACGCAGTAGAAGCAACTCGAGAGCCATGTGCAGCTGTGAAGGCTGGGTGTGTAGTAGACATGGGATAACAAGTCTACTCCAGTGCTTCTGGGATATCAGTGTGCCTCTAAATCACCTGGAGAACTCTTTAAAAGATACTATCCTATGGCAGGGCATGGTGGCTCATGCTTGTAATCCCAGCACTTTGGGAAGCCAAGGACAGCAGATCACCTGAAGTTAAGAGATTGAGACTATCCTGGCCAACATGGTGAAACCCCATCTCTACTAAAAATATTAGCTGGGGTTGGTGGTGTACACCTGTAGTCCCAGCTACTTAAGAGGCTGAGGCAGGAGAATCGCTTGAACCCGGGAGGTGGAGGTTGCAGTGAGCTGAGATTGCGCCATTGCACCCCAGCCTGGCGACAGAGTGAGACTCCGTCTCAAAGAAAAAAAAACACAAAGTATCCTGCGTCTCACCCCAGAGTTGAAGATTCAGTAGATCTGGGATGGAGCCTGAGACGTGACATTTATAACAAGTTTCTAAGGAAATGGGGAGGATGTTGCTAGGGAAGCACATTTTGAGAATCACTCATTTATACAAACTCAAAGGATTCTCCAGCTTCTCTCTATCCACCCAAAGTCACTGGTTTCCTGTTACTCTTTAATTCTTTTGTGCAGCAGAGCAGCACAGCAAATAATGCTGCCATTAGGAGAGAAGGCTCTAGGGCTAGACTACCTGGGTTGGAATCTTGGCCTCATTTTACAAGCTGTGTGATCCTGGCCAAATTATTGGCCTCACTGTACCCCATATTTCTCACAAAAACACATATTGACATTTTCTGACTGCTTCCTATGTACTAGGTATAGTTTCAATGTATTTACTGTTAGTTTGTTGATTCCTGTAAGACTAGGAGGCAGGTGCTATTATCCCCAATTTGCAGATGAAGGAATTGCGGCAAATCAAGGGATAATAATAGTAAACACTTTACTAGATTATTGTGTAGATTAAATGAAATAATCTATGCTAAATTTTAGTTTGAGCTTATAAGAATGTTATTTGTGCTTTCTATGGAAGCAAAGATTGGAAGGTCCTTTCTTTTCAAAACTTTAAGGATTTTTTAAGAGGATGAATCATCGTGCTTCCATCTGAGTCCTATGGAAAGGATCTAGCAATCACATCTCATATCCTGTCCCCCATTTAGGTCCTCCCAAAAGAGAAAGGTTTCTCCCTTGCAGACTTTCTGTCTCCAGAGCACTGCCACAGTTCTAAGGGCCCCAGGGCATGCGTGGGTGGAGCAGTGGGAATGGGTGAGGCCTCCAGGAGGAAGTCTACATGAAAGCAATGGTGTGTATGTGCCTGGTTAAGCAGCGAGTCCTATATGAGAACTGACAGGGGCAGCTCACAAGAATGCAGGCAGTTTGCAAGCTCAGTAGACCAAAAGAGGAAAGAGGGAGAGGAGAGAAAATGCCCGGAGCCCCAGAGCTGTGCTAGCACATTCCAGCACAGTCGACACTTGCTGGTGGCCTTTGTTTTTCTACCAGAGCTTGTGAGTAGGGGATAGATACTGGGCCATTGCATTTCCTGACCTTGACACATTTTAAGCTTTCTTTTCCAGATCAGGACAGAAGGCTTTCTAAAGTAAACTTAGGTTGAATGTGAATAATAATTGGTATTTAATCACCGTCATTAAATACCATCAGAGGAGTTAAATACTGATGATTAAACCTTTAGGACTTTCTAGCTATAAATAAAACATTCTGACATGCAGGGAATCATCATTCATTTCTAACCAGTTATGCTGGCTGCTGAACCTCCTGTCTGTTCCTACACCTGCCATGCCTTTAGATCAACTATCATCTCTGCCCTTGACATGTCACCTCCCCCAGATGGTTCCTTGATTCCCTTTCCCAACCTTACCTCTCACCAGGGCTGGATTAGGTGCTGATCCTAGATGCTCTCATAGCCTCCATTCTTACCATGTTATTTCACGATGGCTTGTTAAGTTGTCTGCTTCCTCCATTCAACAAGAAGTTATAAACTTCTTATTCATTTGATTTCCCAGTGCCAAGCATGGTGTCAGGGAGACAATAAGCAACCACTCAATCTCCACTGATCACTATTTTATGCATACTGCTCTCCACCCAGCCTTTGCTGTTCTGCTAAATTCTGTGGGCCCTCCATTCCTCAAAGACTTGATTCCTACACTCACAGAGACGAGTAAAAGGCAGAAAGTGTGAGGCATTCTGCTTAGTGGTAAACCCTGGTGTGAGAAATGTTAGACATGTTCCAGCTTAAACTGGGGGTGAATGGATTGAGTGAACAAACAGGAGGTGCCTGCCCAGTGCAAACTGGTCCAGAGTGATGGATGGATGAGAGGTGTGTCTAAGCAGAGACAGAAGAGCATAGGCTGCCTCAATAATCCACTTGATGCCTTTCTAGATTCCTTGTTCCTCCCATGGTAACAATTCTGATGAGAGAGCAGATACTCTCTGAAAGACCAGCTTTCCAGCACACCTTTGCCATGCTGATGAGGGCATTACCAGTGCCTTAGGCTGGCTAAGCCCAGTGTTATAGGACTCGCCACCTCCAAGGCGTGAGTTATATTCTGGCCTAAGTCTGAGCCTTAAGGATGTGGCTTAGATTCCGCTGGCATTACCCACTTTTCAGTCCTCATCATTGCAGACTTTTCTTCTCTCATCAGTTATATCTTGGTCATAAGGTCCCAGATTATATCCTTGGTCATAAGGGAACCAGGAAAAAGTATTTGGCTGCAGCTTGTTAATGAGAAAACCAAACTATGAAAATATTTTAAAGGGGTTTATTCTGAGTCAATATGAGTGGTCATTGCCCAGGGAGAGACACAAACCCAAGAAGCCTTGAGTAGGTGGTCCCGAGGCAGTCAGATTATATTTCGGTTTTGTATCTTTCAGGGAGGCAGGAGTTACAGGCAAAGACATACATCAGTACGTGTAAGAGATACATTAGTTCCACCTGAAAAGGCAGGATATCTTGACGTGGGAAGGAGGGGTGCTTCTAGGTTGCAGGTGAATTTGGATATGCTTTAATTTATAATCGGTTAAAGGAGTAAGGCTCCATCTACAACTCGAAGTCAATGTAGCCAGACTGATAGTCTGCAGGCCTCACGTAACCCTGTCTTCTATAATCTTAGTCTTGCATATCCTTTGGTATCTTCTGCCAGTTTGTTTTGTTAGTCTTATGATCTCTGTTGTAACAGTAATGCTGGTCTGTGCCTAAACTCCAAAAGGGATGTGATATAACAAGGTATGTACAACCTTTCTTGCTGTCATGGCCAGGAACTAAGTTTTTAAGGTTTCTCTGGGGTCCCTATGGCCAAGAGAGGGTTCAGTTAGTGGGGAACTTAGGATTTTAAGTATA